CCATTCCTCGCCTCCTCTTGCTCCTTGGGCTCTTCGCGATCCTGCTCCTGCTCCCGGTCATCCTTTCTCCTCCTCCTTTGGTTAACCCCGACCTGGGCGAGCAGTGCCCGCCCGCAGCGTCTGATCCTTGCCCTCCCCCCTCCCACCTTGTCATCCTCGTTCTCTCCCTCTCCTGCTTGCTTTCCCCCTCCCCCTCTTTCCCCTCCTTCCTCCTCCCTCCTCCTCCCTCTCCCTCCTCCCTCCCCTGCTCCCTCCGCCCCTCCTCTCTTCTCCCCTCCGGCCCCACTTCTCCCTCCTCCCTCCCGTGTCGCCGCTCGGGCCATGCCCGTTGGGCCGGCGGACTTTTGAGAGCCGGCCCCAGCCCCCATTACTGGCGAGGGGGGCCCTTTTTTGTCCGTTTGGGGCGCCCGTCGGTCGTGAAGCCGCTCCCGTCTCGGGCCGGACGAACGCAGACATGGAACGTATGGAGAAAATCAGTACGGAGGATTGTCCGGCTTTTCGCTCGCTGGGCCTCGGGACCGTCAGGCGACGATTCGGGGCGAGGAGTTGGTCCTGGGGAACGGGTCCGTTCTCCTGGGGGCCACGTATGTAAGCATCAAGGCAGTAAGTCTTTGAGCAAGGAGTTCGAAGGGAAAGGGGTTACGAAATCTGCTGCGAGCAGCTGGTTTTAGTCCCCTGCGCCGAGCGCCTTTCCTTGATGCACATTGGAGCCTCCGGCGCCAGGAGGTGCCGCGGAAGCCAGGCTTCGTGAGCTGATTCGCTACACCCCCCCTATCACTGCACCTCCCCTTCGCCCCGAAGTGAAGCCGCTCCCCTCCCTGACGTCCTCGCGTCGTGGGGGAAAGCCACGGCCGTGTGAATGCTTGTTTTTGGTTCTTTTTGACCTCCAGGGGCCCTCACTGGGCCCCGGGACCCTCCAAAAACAACTCAGGATGAGAGGCCGGCCCCCAGGAAGGGGCCCAGATCTTTGGGGAGCACATCGCGGCGTCAGATGCAATGCCCTGGTTCTGGCGGCGCGCATATACTCACGGCGGGCGCTGCGCGAGGGTGGCCGGCCGTCAGAGGCGGCCGGGAGGCTTCCTGGGAGTCCCTCGCGGCCTCTCATGCAGGTCTCCCAAGTGGTGTCCGAGTGGTCGGATGGGGTCGGAGGATCGCGCCGCATCGCCGACGCCTCGGCGATGCGAGTCGGCGTTGGGCCCGGTTTTCGCCACGCCGGCGCCGCCAATGCATCGCCGAAGTCGCCGATGCCTCGGCGATGCATCGGCGATGCGGCGCGGTAATCTCCGACCTCAGCTGTTCGGACCCCATTGGGAAGGCCCTTATCTTAGGAAGCCTTGCGTGGTCCCTCCCCTTCCCCTCGACGAACGACGCTCGACCCATGCAGTCGAAGCCGATAGTAAGCAGGAGGGGAGGAGGAGGAGGGAGGGGAGGAGGGTGAGGAGGAGGAGGAGGAGGAGGAGGAGGAGGAGGCGGAGGAGGTGGCGGAGGAGGAGGACCAAGCTTCCAGGAGGATGTGATTTCGACCGGTGGCCGCAGCGAGGCCTCCCCCCCCGCCGGGTCCGAGAGAGAGAGAGGCGCGCCCCGCTGCCGCGCAACGGCGCGAGCACGCGGCCACCGGCAGAGTCACGGACGCGGGGGTCGTTTTTTCCGCTGCCCCGCGGCCACCCTCGGGGAGCAGCTTGTGGTCCGGCGAAAAAGTCAGGGGCAACGGTAGGGGGGGGATGGGCATAGGGGGGGATGCATCGACCCCCAATCGCCCATTGGTCGCCGACAGGGGCCCGATAGCCCCAACCTGCCCAGGAACGTGCAGATTCACCATCGGGGGCCTATCGCCGATCCATCGGCGATGTATCGCCGATTCCAGGTCGATGCATCCCCCCCTAATTATGTGTAGCTTCCGTTACACCTCAAGCAGGGGAGGGTGATGGAGGATGAGGCGGAGGAGGAGGAGCGGGGACGAGGCCGAGGAGGGGGGAGGGAGGGGAAGGGAGGGCGGGGGAGGGAGGGACTGGACCCAGCGGCGGGCGGAGGCGGCGGGCGAGGAGGGAGGGATGGGGGTGAGGAGCACCTGGGCCTCCTCCGTATTTGCTGTCGTTAGGTGCTGGAGAGTGGATCTAGCTCGATATGTATGCTGGATAAGGGCCTTTGGGGGAGGAGGAAGAGGAGGGAGGGGGAGGACGGCCATCGCAAACATGGATGAACGGTGCGTGGATTGGCGACGGGTTCCGTTTCCATGGGAAATCGCGAATTTCCGCCGCCGAACGAGGCGGCACTGGCCGCATTTTGGCGAGGGCACCTCCCCCGTTCCGTGGATTTAGCGACCGCGCGCCAGATCCATGGATCACTAATCCATGTTTGCGCGCCCCAGAGATTAGGAGGAGGAGGGGGGGACCAACATGCATCCACAATGTTGCAGAACGTCCCCCAGTCCCAACTCCCCTCATGAGAGGCCTCAGGATAGGTATCCTTTTTGACTGCCAGGAGTGTCTCCTTGGAAGTTCAGCGTTGCAGGCGAGAGTCCCGTTTCGAGAATGAGTTGCCAACCCTACTTTCACTGAACAGGAGGCAACGAGGACATTTATATAGTTCCAGGAAATGCCAAGCGAAATCCCCGTTTTGGCAAAGAGCCGCCCTCGTTTCGTGCCAAGTTTCTTCGGTGGTTAGTGCCTGGTCTCTTGGCGGAACGGCATCTCGAGCGAATGCCCCGATGTGAGAAAGAGCTTCCCGCCTCCCGTGTAGTCGTTGCACAACTTATCTTCCTGATCATAAGAATGAAGGAGGTCCCAAACGACATGGACATTCTGAAAAGTGTCCGCCCACCACCCGTGTACCTTTTGGACCCGTCAAGATATAAGTTGAGCGACGCTAGGGCGGAAGTCAGTTCTTGAAACTATCACCCCGTCCATTCGTTTAACGGTTGGAAGCTGCTAATGCGAATGAGCTTGGCGCTAAGGCGATAGCCGCATTGTGAAAAATTCCCGCCCCATATTATTGATAATTTCATGTGTTAGATTACTTTGCGTGACGCTAAAGCGAGAGCCACGTTTTGAAAACGACCCCATGCACCCGTGTAATTGCTGGGGAGGTTTCAAGATTCGAAGAACAAGTTGGGAGGAGGTCTCGGACTAAACGCCCCGCCCGCCCTACCGACATGTGATCGACGCAGAACAACCGGATTGGGTTGCGCGGACATTCGCGCGTAAGCTGCCCACGTAAGGTCGCGCGGAAGCGCACTCGTTTCTAAGGAAGCATGTCGTGCTGGCGGCCCGCGTAAGCCACCGCGTAAGGTCGCTATGCCGACTTAGAGTTAACAAATGCCATCGCGACACCTATGTCAATACTATGCCATACGCGCGATGACATGTTGCATCGTGCGTAAGATGTTTCTTTTCGTCGCGCACGTGTGGAATAGGGAAACGGGATCGAGGAGGAGGAGGAGACGGAAGAAGCGGGCGGAGGAGAAGGTGGAGGGTGGAGGAGATGGTGGAGGGAGAAGGGGAATGAGAGGGGGTGGAGAAGGATAATGCATGGAGGAGGATTTCATAAATAGGAGCGCGCACATCGGGCGTAATGCATCTCTTGCATATGCGGCGCCATTGGGTGCTACTGTGTGCCCTGTGGGCACTATCAGGCGCTATATTAATACCATTCGGCGCTTTCGGGCACTATTGTGCACTACTCGGCGCTGCATTGGGCGCTGTCGGACGCTATTCGCTGAGATACGCTCAATGCAAGGCGAGCGTAAGCTTCCGTGTCTTACCATCTACGGTCAGGAATATTTGGATCGCGTGTCGCTCCGCTGGTTCTGGCCCACCACGCTTCCGCACGGCACGCTATCCACTCACGTTGACGGGCCTGCTTTCCACCACCGCCACCACCATAAGTTGGAGGGGGAGGGGGTCCTCCTCCTCCTCCTCCTTCTCCTCCTCCTACTCCTACTCCTCCTCCTCCTCCTCTTCGTCGTCCTCCTCCTCCTCGTCTTCGTCCTCCTCCTCGTCGTCCTCCTCCCTTCCCCCTCCGAGCCTTTCCGAGCCTCCTGCCCCGCGGAACGGAGGGGGGGGGGCAGCGACGGGGCCAGCGCGGGAGAGGGAGGGCGGGGAGGGAGGAGGGGGCAGGAGCGACGGGGGAGGGAAGCAGCGAAGAATGGGAACCCTGGGCAGGGAGAGGGATGATCGAGGAGGCGGAAGGAGGAGGAGGCGGAGGGAGGAGGAGGAGGAGGAGGAGGAGGAGGAGGAGGAGGAGGAGGAGGGGTAGGGGGAGGGAGGAGGAGGAGGAGGAGGAGCAGGAGGAGGAGGAGGCGGAGGCGGAGGAGGAGGGGGGCACGGTGCGCCGCCGGGGCCACCGCCGCGACGCGCGGAGCTGCGGTGCCGGGCAACAGGCGCATCGGAAAGAGCCCGCGCCGTGGGAGCGAGCCGCGGCCGCTCTCGAGGGGAGCCCGCGGTGCCACGGCGGTTCGCCCGGGAGCCCGGCGCCGGGCGCCGTGCGCTGGCGCGGGCCCCGCCGCACTCCTCGGTGCGGCGGGCCCCCTCTCCGCCCTGCGTCCGTCGCGCAGCGGCGAGGCGTCCGGGCCTGCTCATTCCAAATCCCTTCTTAATCGACCCCTCCCCTAAAAGACCGGACCCCCCTCCAAATACGACCTAACATTCTGGACCCCCCCCTCTTCGACGGGGCGCCTTGAGAAACCGGACCCTCTAAGCTCCGATCCATAGAGAGCGCCCTAATAAACCGGACCCCCCCAGTTACAAAAAAAGGCGCCCCCAAAAACCCGACCCGGTGGACGAGAAATAAGGGATTTGGAGCACAGGCCCGCCAGAGATTGTGCTGAGAGCCTCTCTGTGGTCTGCACGGAGTGTTCTCGGATCATTTCAGGTTGAAGCTGTCCTGTTGCAGGCAGTCGGTTCCCTGAGCTCCAAGGACGCTGCTCTTGTTCAGAGAACATCTTTGTGTCCTCGGAAGCTTTCGTGGTAAGCCCACAGTAATGCCGGGTCGGTCGTTCCCTGCTCAAGTCCGTCGCCTTTTTGGGTTAAGGTAGCAGTCCAGGTTTTGGTCCTTTCGGAGCCTTCGTCAGCGTCAAGATGGTCGCTGCCTTGCTGCTATGAAGAGTGATGTACCGGTACCTCGGAAGCGACCATACGAAGACGTTTGCAAGGGTTGTCGGGATCAGGTAGGGGTGGATGCTACTCGAGCGCGTGTGCACGGCCTTGTATCTTGGCTCCGAGAGAACGGCGCCAATATCGATGGCCTTGAATGCCGCGATGATGGCCTTGGTGGACTTGGCATGTTTGCCACCAAGAGCTTCGCTGCGGGTGCAGAGATCGCGTCAATCCCTGCTGCTCTCGTGTTTACAACAGACGCTGCAAGGGCTACGAAATTGGGCGCAGCAGCCGCAGCTCTCGGAGCCCAAGAGGAACTGGTGCTTTGGATATACATGGCGCATGGGCGTAGCGACCCTGAACATCCTTGGCATCCATATCTCAAGTCTTTGGCTGCTAGCCAGCCAGATCCGACAAGCTGGTCTCGGGACGCATTGGCTCCGCTGCGAGCAACGCCCATTATGCGGATGGTGACGGAATGCAAGGCTATGCTCGGCCGCGATCTTGCCAGACTTCAGAGCAGGTTACCCATCACGGTCAGCAGTTCAGAAGATCAGGCCCTCGAAGGTTTGAGTCTTCAGGCTCTCCTTTGGGCACGCGGAATGCATCTGAGCCGTTGCTTCCCAGCTGAGCTCGCTACAAGTCGTCATATTCACATACGACCTGATTGCAAAGAACATTGTGGGGGAAGGGGAGGCGCAAAAGGCGATAGTGTTGGTTGTTTGTTGCCATTTTTGGACATGGCGAACCACAAGGCAGGCCACCAAATTTCATGGGAGGCTTCCGATGGACGGGTCGCTTTCAAAACCGTGAGTGAGCTCCATCCAGGAGACGAGATTCACAATAACTATGGAATGGGGCGCAGCAACGAGGACTTTCTGTTTTATTATGGCTTTGCGGAGTTGAATGCGGACTGGGTGCGGAATGTCATCACAGGGATAGTGTTGGTTTTTGATGTCTCGGTTGAGACTGCACTTTCAACACACAAGCGATTACTTGAAGAGCATATTCCCTGTGGCCTCATGGGCAGCAGCACCTTGCGCATCGGCCCATTCGATTTAGTCCCCACCGTGGTGCAGTCAGCGACAGGCGAAGCGGAGACAACCCTGTTACCGCATGAACTTGTGCGTGCGTTGCGCATTGTTGGACCGGATAGGGAGGGCCAAGAACCAGACCAACCTAGCGCAGAGGCTCTAGCTGTTCTGCACGCATCATTGCTAGGTTCGTTGGCAGCTGCCCGATTGGCTCCAGAAGCTGCCAGCCCTGACTTTCCAGAACGAGCTGCGTATGTGAAGGCTTATTGTAACGGTCGTTGCCATGCATTGGAGGCTGCCTTGTCGGAGGCCGAATTTCTCCTTGGGTATTGACGGAACTTATGAAATAATGCTTATACGTGATCGCGGCGAAGCATGTAGTCGCCATAGCCAAGCAAGCGTGACCATATTTGATAGAGAGTTCTTACTGATGATTGCGTGCTCTGGCCCAAAGGCTGACATGCGCCGGAACTGGAAATTAGTGCTTTGCAGCTAAGCTGGTGGGTGCCCTACATGGCCGTTGGATGTCTGCCTGGCAGTGCGCCTCCCTGGTGAGCGTCCCTGGCTTCAGGCCTCTGGCCGGCAAAAGCTCCGGTTGGCCCCCTGTCGGCGGCGAAGTCCGACCCCACCGTCGCCGATCACCGATTGGATTAAGGCGACTCGATGGGTGGCGGGGGTGGGTTCAGTCGGGCCTGTCCCTCTACAGGGGGAATCTTCAGAAATAGCCAAAAAATAATCAGGGGACGATTCTTTTGGTATTTTTGAGCAGTTTGGAGTATTCTTTGACTATTTCTTCTTTGTTTTCCGTCCAAAATCTGCCTGTAGGGGGACATGCCCGACCTAAGGGTAGGGTTCGGAGTTCGTCGCACACGGGTCGGCATCCGAACCCCGCCCCCGGCTCCCATCGATCCGGGAGTCTCGGTGGCTCGTGGGGGCACGTCAGGGCTCGGGCGCCGCCCAGCCTGCCCCGCCCGCGGGGCCCACCGGGGCGGGCACACCCACTGGCGAGTGCCCCTGGCGGCGCGCCGCCTGGCGGCAGGTGGGCGGCCAGGGAGTGCGCCGCTTCCGCGCCGGACGGCGCAGGCGAGCGGCCCAGCCGCGCGCAGAGGGGGGCGGGGGGAGGGGGTGGACAGGCCTCCTACCCTGACGCGTCGATTCGCGAATTGGCCGCTTGCGGTTCGCGAGAGGGCGGCGCGGCCGTCATTTTTGCGGTTGCAGGTCCTAGGCCGTTTACACTAAAGGGAGGTTTGCTAAAGGGAGGTTTGTCCACCGCCGATTGGGGGAGGGGGCAGGGCTTCTTAGAAGCACCCCTTCTCAGAGGGCGCGGGCCTGATCTGTAGATGTAAGGCCGGCGCCTTCTAAGAAGCAGCCTCCTTCTAAGAAGCCCTCCCCCCTCCCTCCACCCCCTTGTGCGCACCGTTAGGTGGCGGGAGAGAGCGCCAGCTGCTTGCTCCCTGCCTGCTGACTCCGCCTGGCCCCTCTTCCGCCTGCCCGCCCGCCCCGCCGGCCCTGGCCTCCCGCCTGCGCGTTCGTCGTCGTCTGCCTGCTTCTCTCCTCCTCGTCCCCTTCCGCCGGGGAGCACAGCCTGCCCGGGACCAGCGTGGCGGCGTGTATAGGGCTTCCGCATCGGGGCGGCCACGGGCTCAGCGATGTTGGCCTCCGGCCTTCCGAGAACCGTCCCAGGCCCTCTCCGAAGCGGCAGAGGACTTCTGAGGAGGCTGGGGCCGGGGCTCTGGGATCCGCGGCAGCTGCCTCTGCACCGGTCGGAGTCCCCGCCTGCTGAGCAGTGGCGCTGGCCTTGAGGTCTGGCGTTCTGCAAAGAGAGATGCCGAATTTTTCCAGCCGCATCGGTCCGTGAGGGTCCCGAGGCCCGAGCCTCGGCGACAGCGCCCAGAGCGAGGTGCTGGCACCGCCAGGATCTCAGGGGAGGCTTCCGTCGCCGGCCCGTGGCTTCGCCCGCTTCGCTTCAGTCGGGCCTGTCCCTCTAGTGGAGGAATATTCCCAAATACTTTTGAAAAATACTCGAGGGACGATTTCTGGCGTATTTTTTTACATGTTTGTGAACTGTCTTAATTATTTGTTTCGTTCAAAAGCCGCCTCTAGGGGGACAGGGCCGACCTAACCCTTCGCCCCCGCTGCTCTCTCGCTCTCTCGCCCTCCTCGCGCTGGCCTCGCCGTCCCCGCGGGCCCCCCTCGCCTCCATCGCCTGAGGCTCGGCCTCGCCGCGCCCCCGCCTCCTCGCCTCGCGCTCCTCTCGCTGGCCCCCTCCTCGCCGCGCCGCCGTCTCTCGGAGGAGGGCCACTCGAGACCACGGCGGCGTTCCCTGCTTTTTTTTTTTTGTTATATATATATATATATATATATATATATAAAAAAAAAAAGAGGAGGAATAGGTACCCATACCTCTTCCCTTTCTGGGCCTCCTCGGAGGCCCTCGTCGCCACCGCTGGATGCGCCTCGAAATTCTGGTCAGAACGCACCCCGGGCGAAGGCCGGGGGGCAAGGGGCATCGGTACCTTCTGATTTCCCCATTTCTGCGGCCTCCCAGAGGCTTCACGTCGCCGCGGCTGCCTCAATCCCGAAGTACGGGTCGGGATGCCCTGAGATCCGACGCTGCGCAACAGATGCAGCATCGCACGAAGCATCACGGCCAAAGACCCCGCACCCAGTCTTTCCTCGCCACTTCTCGAGCCCGATCGATCTTGAGGGTCACGGGGCCTGAAGCCGGTGGAAGACGCCCGCTGCGAAAAGAGTGCATTTTCAACGCCAGGATCTCAGGGCGGACCCCGAGGAAGGGCGCCGACACTTGTTCTTGGCGGAGCTGTCCAAGCAGGAGGGCCGGCGTGGCCTCAGCCGGTCCTCCTCCGACTGATGCAGGCTTAGAATGGCGGCAACCTCAGCATCATGTATCTAGGCCTCCCCCAGATGGGGTCCGAGTAGATGGGGTCGGAGGATCGAGCCGCATCTGCGATGCATCTGCGATGCGTCTCGATGTGGGGTCCGAGTTTCTCGACGCCGACGTCGGCGATACGCCGCCGGCGTCGCCGATACATCGGCGAGGCACCGCCGACGCATCGGCAACGCATTGGCGATACGGCTCGATCGTCCGACCCCATCTACTCGGATCCCATCTAGGAGGCCTCTAGTACATCGGGCAGTGGTGCTGCGCCCACGGGGGCAGGGGTCCCAGTTGGAGGGGGGAAGGAGGTGGAGGATGAGGTGGAGGATGAGGTGGAGGAGGAGGAGGAGGAGGAGGAGGAGGAGGAAGAGTTGGAGGAGGAGGAGGAGGAGGAGGAGCAGGAGGAGGACCCCCTCCCCCTCCTACTGGAGGTGGCGGCGGTGGAAAACAGGCACACCAAAATCGGGCGGTGGGACTGCGCCCATGGGGGCAGGTGGTCGGTGCAACGAGGTGCAACGAGGTGCTCGGCGGAAGCTCGGCGGAAGGCGGCGGAAGTAACAGTTATGCCCCCCCCCCTCCCCCGAGATGACAACGTTTTTGGGTTCGGGGGTTCCGAAATCGCCCATCCTGGGGTGGAAATCGGGCGGTGGTGGTGCTGCGCCCACGGGGCAGGGTCCCAGTTGGAGGGGGGAAGGAGGTGGAGGATGGGTGGAGGATGAGGTGGAGGAGGAGGAGGAGGAGGAAGAGTTGGAGGAGGAGGAGGAGGAGGAGGAGGAGGAGGAGGAGGAGGAGGAGGAGGAGGAGGAGGAGGAGGAGGAGTTGGAGGAGGGTCGGTGCTACGAGGTGCTCGCGAGCTGCACCAGCGCACACGCAGGCTCCCGCACAGAGCAGAGCCTCCGTGGCCGCGGGCCAGCGCCCCGCTGCCCCGCCGCCTTGGGCAGCGCCTGCGGCTCGTCGAGCGCGTTCCGCCACTCGCAGCCACGCGCAGAGGGCGATCGACGGTCGAGGATCGAGAATCGATCGAGGATCGAGGATCGAGGATCGTCAAGAGATTAATGGCCTTTTGGAGGGAGAGCCCTGGGGTCCAGGACCCAGTTATCCCGGCTGCCTCGTGACAAAACCTTCCCCGCGGCTGGCCTCTCCGTCCCGGGGCAGCTCCGGATGGCCCAGGGGCCCGAAGTGGGTCTGCAGAGGCCGTCAGCCATGCGCAGAGGGGGGTGGGGGGAGCGGGGAGGGCTTCTTAGAAGCACCCCTGGTTCTTGGAAGGCGCGGGCCTCATCTGTAGATGTGAGGTCGGCGCCTTCTATGAAGCAGCTTCCTTCGAAGAAGCCCTCCCCCTCCCTCCACCCCCTTGTGCGCGCCGCCAAGCGGTCCGCTACTCGCAAAACTCCTACTCGCAAACGTCCGAAAAAGCCATAGATCTGCCTTTGAGTATTTCTACGTATATGTTAATATATTGTAAATCCCCTGCGGCGGATCCATGCCATTTGCGAGTAGCTACCTTTGCGAATCGTGGAACGCGCTTGTTTAGCGGCGCCAGGGAGTGGGCAGCTGGGATCTGGGTCGGACGGTGGGGTCGGAGGCTCGTAGAGCTCAGACCCCCTCGGGCAACGAGAAAATCATGACGAGAGGTTTTTTGCCATTTTCGGCTTTGAGGGCCCTCGCCGGGCCTCGGGACCGTTAAAAAAGGACTCAGGATGAGAAACCAGTCCCGGGGAATGGGTGGAGACCTCCAGGGGTCGACGTTTTGAAAAAATCATTACGTCGGCGGTTTGGGAGAGGGGGGTATCCCAAGGTGAGGTTAGGGAACGAGGCCCGCTAGATGCTCATATTTTCGTGTTTCAGGTGACGTTCAGAGCGGTTTTCCCGTAACCCCACTTCTGCCCCTGCCCCACCTTTACGTCCCTCCGATTGGGGGGGCAATTTTTATATCCATGTCCAGTGCTTCTTGGACTTTCTTGGTCCTCGAGGGCGCCGAGTTGTTCGCGCTTCGCGGTTTTGCTCCAATTCCTCCTCATCCTCCTCTTCTCCCTCAGGGGGACGGCGCCAGAGCGCGAGCTTATGTTCGCGCCTCGCGCAGCGCGAGGCGCGAAATTCACTCCTCCTCCTTCTCCTCCTTCTCTCCCTCCTCCTCCTCTTCCTCCTCCTCCTCCTCCTCCTCCTCCTCCTCCTCTTAGGCGCCCTTGGGGAATCAGTCCTCATCAGTGAGACTGCAGGCGTGCGGAGTTGGAGGTGAGCCATTGCATTCTGGGTGCGGGTCGTGCTCGATGGCAGCGTCGGCGGTCCGTGGCCGTTTCTGCCTGAGGCTCCCCTACATGGTACCGAATTAATTATGCTCGTTCATGCTTGCACGCTTGGCGCACTAATTGCACATGTAGCTGGCCTGTCCCACTCCCGACATCAAGACCTCGAGCTGCTGGATCCGGACTCCGAGTTCGAGGTGACAATCAGCGCACGTGGTGGGTCGCCGGTAGACCCTCACGGCCGCGCTGCCAGGGATGACTCCGACAGCGGGCGGTTTTGGGTGAACGAGTCGTTCTGCCTGAACTTTTTGCACATCCCGAAGACTGGAGGGACCACCGTCGAGTCTGCGAGGCTCAACGGTTCGCCGGAGGCGTCGCGCTGGGGAGCACACGATCAGAACCTTCGCTGCTCTGGCATGACCTCCTGCGGATCCAGTGCGCCTACCCTCTCCAAGCCGCGGTGCTGCCCCATGAAGGACGGGGGGGAAGGGGGAGGAGGAGGAGGAGGAGGAGGAGGAGGAGGAGGAGGATGAGCAGGCGGGAGGAGGAGGAGGAGGAGCAGAAAGCGGGAAGGGTAGAGTGTACCATCTAGTAGAGCTAGTAGTGGTGCAGTTAGTAGTCGCAGTGGTAGTGGTTGTGGTCGCGGCAGTGGTAGTTGTATTGGTATCGCAGTGGTAGTGGCAATGGTGGTGGTGGTAGTGGAAATAATGGCGGTGGTAGGTCCTACGTCGTCCATGGACGCAAGTAAACAGGAACCAGATGCTGGCTGCGAAGTTTCGCACGCCATCTATGGACGGAAGCACCAGGAGTCGCTCAGGATCATCCCCAGTGCGCTGGGATCCTTTAACAATTTTCAAGATCGCCCAGGAATCGCGACACCTCTGGATTCTCCAGTGATCTTCAGGATGCGCTAGACGTTGTGTGAAATCAAAAGAATTCCGCCTTCAGGAGTTTTCCATTCGTCCGGAATCCCCCGGATTCTTGTTGCTTCTGGGACCACCCAGGATTCCTCGGGTTTTGTTTCGCACCTTCAGGAACCGTCCGGAGTCTTCAGGATGCAGTTTACTGCCGTGCGACTTCTTCAATCCTCCGAGAGATTCGGCCACACGCACCAGGGCTCCCCGTGATGCCTCAGGGTTCAGCGCGCGGGCTCCTGAGGTTTCTCGTTCGGATTGACTCGGTGTCTCCAGGGGTCCCGAGTGGACCCCAGGAAAACCCACATGAGACCAATCTGCCCTCCCCAGGCTTCCTCATGATGGCCCAGGCTTCCTCAGGGTTCTGCAGTATTCCTCCAGATTCGACAGGTTCTAGAAGTATGTTAGTACGGTC